ATGATTTTTTTATATATATATATATTTATAGGTATTTAGATTATTGTACCCTCCCTAACAATTTTTAGGGTGAGGGGGTAAGCAGGGTTTTATTTTATTGGGTGGTGACTAGGGTCTTGGGGACCCCTTGTCACTTGGGGGGTATTTTGTACATTTATCCACCACCCATCACCAATGGGTGGGAGCTGGGGGGCAATAGGTCCCCTCTATTATCACTGAGGGCAGCACCTGCCGCTCATGGGTGGGCCCAAGTGGTGCATAGGCAGCAAGTGCCCCCCCCCCCTTTTGTCACTTAGGGTTCTCCACCCATCGCTCATGTGTAGGGGCCAGAGGGAGGCAATAGCTCCCCCCATTTGCCAGTTAGGGCATAGCGATTAGGGGCAGTCTGTCTTATTTACTTATACTAAGTAATCGTTACTTAGTATTAGTAAAGTTGGCTAAAAGATCAATTATCTTCTTTCAGCCTTTTTAGCTCCCTAATATCGTGCAAATTGGGGGGTTATCTACTAAGTAGCTGCAAGACGCTTTAACTTCATAATTTGGCATCCATAAATATGGCAATCCCACATAAGGATACCAAATTAAGGAGCTGTCTACTAAACTACAGAAAGATCAAAATTAAGAAAAGCCCTTTTTAATTTTCTTGTGTTTTTCACACATGTTTAATTTTCATGGTACTGCAAGCCATACTATTATAAAGATCCCATACTTGTATTCTGCCATTTTTTCCAAAGTGCAGATATAACCCCATGTAAACCTTTGCCAGCTTGTCGACAAGTGATAGGGTAACCTTGCAGACACCCAAATCTTAGGTTTCAATTTTCCATTTTCCACTGATTGATTTACTGGATCCATGCCACTACTAGGATAAAATAACAATCACAAGCTGCCCTTTATCCCCATCATGGCATGCCATTTTAAAAAGAAAAGACAATTTGGATATTCAATATGGGTTATATTAAGTCTTTGCTGTAGCCCATATCATCATAAATTGAATTTAGTGGCAAATTGTATTTTATATGTATTTATATTCCACATACATATTAAATTATAGTGTTTTTTACAGGTCTTGTAAGTTCTGCTACATCAAACACCCTAGATTCGTATTTTGCTACATCTCCCAAGTTCATTAAGAGCTCACACATATACCTGAAATACTCATTCATCACGACGTAGATTCTTTCAGTTATCACAGTTTTTTGCCGTTTGCGGTTCTAGATGTGTGTTGACCTGGAGGTGGCCGAGTAGCTATCAATGAAGACTCTTGCATTTCTGGTGAGTCGAGGTAGGTTTTCTCTGGTACTGTGCAGCAGACCTATGATTTCACTGTTTAGTTAGCTCGTGTTAGGGCAATGGTTCCACCATTTAGCTAGCCCGTGTTAGGCAGATACAATATTGTAGGTTCCTGCTTCTTATATTTCTGTCTAATTATACAATAGGGCAGTGGTTCATTAATTAGCTTCTGCACCTTTTAGCTACAATTGGTCTATTTTCCTATCGATCCCTTTTGCCAGATATACTAAATAATTCCTTTTCCACTATTGCTACACTGATTTCTGCCAATATTGGAGTGCCATCTAGTGGCTTTATATAGAAATACCATGCCAATCTCAAAAGAGAGAATTGGGGGCATCGCTGGAACATGTATTTCCAAGCATTGGTGCTTTAGTAGAAACCAAAATGTATGCAAAATAGTAATTAATGGTGCACACAAAAATAAAATTTTCAATTTTACAAGGCAACCTAAAACCACTTAGCTCAACAAACACATATGGGGAGTTAGTTTGACCATATACTTTGAACTTCCATCGTAAAGGCACTATTTGTGGACATGTATGCCAAATCTTTAATTGTTCTGAAAAACTGTATCAGCGATGAAAATGTGTGAAGAATATTGTACTAATCTAATATGGATGCCAAACTATGTGACCAATTGATTTCTCTTAAACAAATTTTGAATCTAGGCTACCACAGGTTACAGATCTATAGCACATGTCATTCTGGAGAAAACGATTATATTTTTTAATATTTGGCAAAATTGGTCAACAATAGAAATGTCTCCCAGGCCCAGTGACCTGTGATTTGTAAATCTTGAGACTTACCTGCCAGTCTCAAGATTTACCTGTCAGAGCTCTCTGATTGGTTGGCTTATTTTTTTACTGAGGAGTCACTGGAGGCTTCCTCATGTTGTGATTATTGTGCCAAAAGTACCCTGGCACCATCCCATGGTAGGATGTCAAACTAGTTTAATAAGATTTGACAATTTACGTGTGTCCACCTGGGCAGCTATGATCACATCCCCTGCATTGGCTCCTCTCCAGCAGGATACGCTTGATGTTTCTGTAGAGTGAACCCCACCGATGCATGGTCGTGCTTTACTCTACAGAACAATCCATGGATGCCTGGCGGGTTGCTAATAATTTATCAAATCTTACTAAACTGGTTTGTTATCTCACAATGGGAAGATGTCGGGGAACTTCTGACACCATAATCACTATAGTGGACAGTAGTGGTTATGATGCTTGGTGTTCTTCTTTACATTATACGTCTCACATTACTCATATGTAAAGAGGGGTGTTGGGGAGATAGAAACACAACTAAATTCTTAATACTTCCATAGCGAATGGGACAAAACCATCTGATTACAGACAGGGTCATGCAAAATATAAAATATTGAGATTGTTCAAGATTTGTCAATGTCCAGGTGACTGATGAGCCTGAATCAGATTTGGATTTGGAAAATATTTGCCCGGATTGCTGAAATAGTTGACAACGTACATACTATTTGCCCTCCAGCACCCAATCCATCCCCCAATAATTTGCAGGCCTTTTTAGCAAATGGGACGTAATAGATGCCCAGTTCCACAATTTATTTAACCCCAACACAGCTGGGGCAGTAACGGTAAGCAGTCACTAGCTGCTCACTGTTTAAAAGATACGCTCCCATCCACAGTATTAAGGGTGGGGGCATAAGGGAGGTATTATACTATTTACACTATGTGTGTGTTTGTCAGTAAAGTGAATTGTGTGACTGTGAGTTTGAAAGTTGCATTGTGTGTGTGTGTGTGTGTGTGTGTGTGTAAATTGCAATGATGGACTGTTTCTGTGTCAGTAAAGTGAATTGTGTGACTGTGAGTTTGAAAGTTGCATTAAGTGTGTGTGTGTGTGTGTGTGTGTGTGTGTGTGTGTGTGTGTGTGTAAATTGCAATGATGGACTGTTTCTGTGTATAATGGGAAAAATTGTTGCTCACTAAAATTGTTTTCTATGGGACTAAATAAATCAAGACTGTATCAAAATAACAGGTGGCAAAAGCAAAAATACTCTTAAATTTTGTTAGCCGTATCTCTTAACATCTATCATTTATTCAAAATAAAAACTAAAAACATTGATAAAAATCCTAGATGATAGCCACCAATTGATAAGCTCATATAAACACAAAAAATAACTTTCCAAATAAATAGTAACAATATAATAAGTAACAGTAACAATTATAGTTCTACATATAATCACTATATCAGAAACTGTACAAAATAACCATTTAGAGTACATATAATATCACTAAATAAAAAATTAAATAAATGAAATATATATATTTTTTAATTTGTATACTAAGATCTGGTTACATATCATTAACTAATAAAATACAAACATTGTATTAGAGTAATCCATTTTCTTTCAAAGATGTACTGAAATCATTCATGCAGGATGATAGTCTGCTTCTGTATACCCTAAGTCATTTCAGCATATCTTGATATTTGTGTCATTTTGCAATTTTATTTTATTATTTCAGGCCTTAAAATAGGTACTGCCCCTCCTAAATAGAGACACTTGGGAGGTATTCAATATAGTGAACTGGCAGAAGGAGTGTGAAAGAGTAAACTAGGTATGAGCGGACTAGATAGCTGTGAATCCCAGTCTCTAGCTGAAAATGTTGTATTTGCTAGTGTGTCAAGTTTCGGATTCGGGGAGTTTTGCAGTAAAATGTTCTTTAGATTTAAAAACATGATTAGGTATGTTTGAAAAAAATACCTTCCATTAGCCATTTAAATTTATAATGGATTTGGCTCCTCAGCAAAAACTCTGTCTGATGTTGAGACAGAGTGCCGGAGCCAGAATGGGCATGGTTCCTCAAATTATTCCTGCTGAATCCTAATCTTTAGGAATTCTTTGAATCAGGCTTTTTACTAAATGGCATGCTATCTCCTAGATTCATGAATTATTGACCAACCCGCAAACTAATGACCCTTCTTCTTTTACCATATTTGTATAGAATAGATGGAGCTGTGCATTGCATTGTGGGGGAGACATAGCGAAACGCAGCTGGAATTATTGCATTCCACTTTGGAGGATACGCTTTAATTTTACACGTTAAATACATGTATGTAAGCTATAAGCCTGCCTGTTTATAACTGTATTGCTCCACGCAGTGTGTGTTTTATAGACACAGGATACATACAGACAATCCATAGTTCAGTACGTTTTTTTTAATATATTTTGGTCACCGGCCACAATTTAACTTCTTGCTGTAATTTTCACTTTCAAATTAAAAGCCAATCAGAATATAGGATTGATTTCAAATTTATTATTTGCTACATTATATTATTTTGGTTTTTCTTGTTTTTCTCTATATTTGCCATTACATACTTTAAAAAAAAAATGGGTTATTGAAGCAGTCCAGGCAGATTCCACATGTTTTAAAACTACAACTTCCATGATGCTTTGCCATTCTAGAGGTATTTTAATGGCATGCAAAGCATCATGGGAGCTGTTGTCTTACAACATCTGGGGGTCTACCTATTGGGCATCCATGTTGTACTCTATCTCATAGCTGGTGTTGCCTAGCAACAGAGGTAACAATCAGACCAAGTGGAGCAATGATGTAAAATGATGATGTATCTGGGGTTCATTATCTGTTAGTCCAGTGCTGAGTAGACAGTGATTAACAGTTATTCCAGTGATAACAAGATTGGATCAATTTAAACGATAACCAGTTTACAAAATGGAGAAAAACTCCAAAATATCTGAACCTGCGGAGTACCAGGATGACTTGCCGTAGGTTTATTTAAAATAGTTTGTTTTATATATTACTAATCTAATAATTTAGTTAGAAGATATGTCACTAGGTAACTGCTTGTATAAAAGTCCAGTTTATTTAGTTATATAATTTAACAGGTTAGGATTTCTGGGTGATATTTTGTAAATGTGTCTATCATTTCAATATCCAATATTTACCTTGTAACCCTGGACATTATAACTTCAACCTTACTGGATAATACCAGAGCTATAATCATTATTTTAATGCTAATCTCACTAATTGAAATTAGTTTTACCATTAGTAATAGCAAATATTAGTTTAAAGGGACACTATAGTCACCTGAACAACTTTAGCTTAATGAAGCAGTTTTGGTGTATAGAACATGCCCCTGCAGCCTCACTGCTCAATCCTCTGCCATTTAGGAGTTAAATCCCTTTGTTTATGATCCCTAGTCACACCTCCCTGCATGTGACTTGCACAGCCTTCCATAAACACTTCCTGTAAGAGAGCCCTATTTAGGCTTTCTTTATTGCAAGTTCTGTTTAATTAAGATTTTCTTATCCCCTGCTATGTTAATAGCTTGCTAGACCCTGCAAGAGCCTCCTGTATGTGATTAAAGTTCAATTTAGAGATTGAGATTCAATTATTTAAGGTAAATTACATCTGTTTGAAAGTGAAACCAGTTTTTTTTTTCATGACGGCTCTGTCAATCATAGCCAGGGGAGGTGTGGCTAGGGCTGCATAAACAGAAACAAAGTGATTTAAATCCTAAATGATAGTGAATTGAGCATTGAAATTGCAGGGGAATGATCTATACACTAAAGATGCTTTATTTAGCTAAAGTAATTTAGGTGACTATAGTGTTCCTTTAACAATTATCCAATGTTTAAAACAAGAAGTGTATGAGGTCTGTTCTGTAAAGTCTAGAATGTTTGCCTATTTGAGGAAAATGATTAAAATAGTTTACAAAGTGTAGAATTCAGCAGGAATAGTTTTTGGAACCATCCCCGCTGGGTATTAACAGGGTTTGGGGGCTGAGGGAATTTAGTGTTGGAATATCGATTATAGTAGTAATTGCCCATTTATTCCAAAATACGTGATTTCTTCCAACAATAGAGGGCAGGTGCACGGAATGATTCAATACATATACAATGTGTCTCCATGCACTATGTTATATAAAATATGTTTCATTATTGAAGTATCATTGGCTCATCAGAACCTCCGGATGCTTGTAGCTAGTGGACCATGCTCAAACATCGCACTCTACCTACAGCTGGTGTTACCGAGCAACAGACCAAACAAACTGCCGCAAAGTGTAATTATGATACAAAATATAATGTATCTGGGTTCATTATCTGGTATATCCAGTGCTGAATAGTCAGTGATTACACATTATTCCACTGATAACCAGATTTGATCCATTTCAAAGAAAGGCAGTAAATAAGATGAAGGAAAACTCTGATTTATGTGAACCTGAAGAGCAATAAAACGATTTGCTGTAGGTTTATATAAAAACATTTTATTTTATTTTTTATTAATGTAAAGATATTGTTAGAACTTAGATCCCCTTTTAACTAGACACAATGAATTTAAAGAAACAATTAAATGACTGAGCAGGCATGCATCCAATTCTATAGGTTATAGATAACTGGGCAATTATGTGTAAGGTTGATTTTATTTTCAATGAAAAACTGTGGACTTGTGGGACACTATTAGAGCTTTGTTTATTATATTAAAACTAATTACATTAACTGAAAAACTCCTCTCCAATCAGTTATATCAGTTTGGTGGGGGTTATAAGGTAAAGTTAGAAATGGATTGTAGTTCATTATTAAGAAAACTAATTTCAACACAGCTGAGGTTAAATAGTCTCTGTCTTTCATGACAATCTTTTTCTAAAACAATTGCCAATTTTGATAAACGCGTTCAATGACCCTGAAAGGTAAGAAGGTGAAAGATCCATCAGGAAATTTGCCTACAAAACCTTAAAGGACCACTATAGTGCCAGGAAAACATACTCGTTTTCCTGGCACTATAGTGCCCTGAGGGTGCCCCCACCCTCAGGGTCCCCCTCCCGCCCGGCTCTGGAAAGGGGAAAGAAGTTAAAACTTACCTTTTTCCAGCGCTGGGCGGGGAGCTCTCCTCCTCCGATCCTCCTTCTCTCCTCCCCGTCGGCTGAATGCGCACGCGCGGCAAGAGCTGCGCGCGCATTCAGCCGGTCACATAGGAAAGCATTCATAATGCTTTCCTATGGACGCTAGCGTGCTCTCACTGTGAAAATCACAGTGAGAAGCACGCAAGCGCCTCTAGCGGCTGTCAATGAGACAGCAGCTAGAGGAAATAGGGGAAGGCTTAACCCATTCATAAACATAGCAGTTTCTCTGAAACTGCTATGTTTATGAAAAAATGGGTTAACCCTAGCTGGACCTGGCACCCAGACCACTTCATTAAGCTGAAGTGGTCTGGGTGCCTAGAGTGGTCCTTTAAGGGACTGAGAAGTTACTGATGTTAAGTGACAAAACAAATTAAACTGCTCAAATACCAGATATTGTACAAATGTAGACAATATGCACCAAGTACATGTTATTACATTATTAACCTTCTTATTAAATTCTAAAACAACTCTGATTCAGATGATTTTATATTGTGACTGAAATCTAGCATTGTGTTAAAATGAACCTATTTCCTTTTTTTTTTTTACTTACCAGTAAATTGGAGCAACCTAACATCCTGTGGTCTAAGACCAATGTTTACATAGTGCAGGAATTGTTAGGCAGTGGCACCTTTGGCAACGTTGTAAAGGGTGTTATAAACGGAACCAATGAAAAAGTGGCTATTAAAATCTTGAAGGACACTCCATATGTTGCTGAATTTGCTGAAGAAGAGGTGGACATCCTATGCCAGCTGAGTAAGGAGCAACCAGACGATTTCAATCTCGTCAAGCACTATGACTATTTCCAGCACAACAACAACATCTGCATTGTGTTTGAGATGTTGGACATTAGTCTCTCTGACTTTATCAAAAAATGCAACTGCAGGCCACTTCCAGTGAAACACATCCGCCCTATTGTGCAGCAGGTGGGCAGTGCACTGGCAAAGTTGAAGAGTCTGGGAATAATCCACACAGACTTGAAACCAGAGAACATCATGCTGGTGGACACGTCCAAACACCCATTTAAGGTCAAGGTCATAGACTTTGGCTGTGCAATCCATACATCCAAGGCTCGATGTTCGAGTTACATACAAACCAGATACTATAGGTAAGGAACATTTATTACTCATAATTCACAATTTCAAAGAAAGAACATATATATCCTTTACTTTAATGACATGAGTATAATTACTAATGTTAACTAGGTCTGGTTATTTTGTCCAACGGTTTTTATGAAATATTAGGAGATATTAGTGATATTTATGGTTTCTGGATGAGTGTATCAGTCAGTTAGCTCTACACATTCACACAGGCTCTTAAGGTGAACATGGATTGATCAGAATTTGCCCAAGTGGCATGGCTGCTTGCTACAGAGCTCTCCTAAGGAGTAAGGAAGTGGGTGAAATATTCCTACTTTCTTCTTCTTCAAAGCTTTGCATATCAAGCTGTCAGAAAACATGTCACTTATAAATGCCTTGAAGAAAAAGATTACAAAATATGGATATATGGGATCTCTGCTGGAATTCTCATATGTTCACAAAGTGATATAACGGGCTTCAAAAAGCTGTGGAGATCTGTGGAATGTGATGGACTTTCTACATTCCAAAGAAACATTTAGGCAGTTCTCCTCTATTATTCTCATTTTATAAAAACTGATCATCATTAACGTACTAGGAAGTGGCTGCAGACATGGTATCTCATTATGCTAGGGGAAATGGGAGGTGGGTTTTTCTGGACACTCTCTGTCAGCTGATATGTGCTTGTGCTGAGTGTTTTGAGAGTGATGGTAAAACACTTCCACTGGTAACTCTCAGGCAGCCAGATGGAGCAGAGTCATGATTAACTTAACAGAAATAGTAATTATTTCAGTGAACTAAGTTAAAATTAAGCGGTTTAATCCTATATTTCAGTTATTTAACAGTTTTAACATGTAAATTATTTAGCTAACATTCTGATTTCTCTCCTTTTTATAAAAATCAGGTCCCCAGAAATTATATTAGGATTACCATTCTGGGAGGCCATTGACATGTGGTCTCTTGGGTGTATCATGGCCGAGCTATTCACAGGACACCCATTATATCCTGGAGCATCTGAGTATGATCAGGTGAGTTCAGATCTAATAGACATCTGGGTTTAATTATATATTAAGGTCTCAGTCAGGAATCCAGAATGAATTCACGTAGAAAGAGATCACGAAGCTGTTATATTTGCTTACACAGACTGGAGTCAAAGTGCAAAGATAAAACTGTCAATTTTGTTTAAAATTAGTGAGGACTATTCACCAAACAAAGAATTGTAATGAATCAAGATACAAAATTGAAACATTTAGGCAAAATTGCAAATTTCAAAAAGTTCTTCAACCCAACTGCTGTCACACCTTTTAGCCTGAAATTTGGGATACGGTTATTAATTCACCGTAATCTGGTGTTTAGTAAATTGATTGTACTGAGTACTAGTACGAGTTAGAACATTTTTAAAGCATCCATGTTAGCATACTCAAACCAGCCTTCATTTGGTAGTTTAGGTAACTTTCTATAGACGCATTTAGGTGTATAAATAATGTATTTATTAAATCCAAACAATTTCATTAAAAGAAGTAATTGTACTCCAACTTTTAAATTTGATGATATTTGTATTTTAACTAGTTTGTAAACAGAATAAATAAAGAATATCCCTGTGGCAAAAAGAAGTCAAAGCTTTTTAATAAAAATATGTGCAGCATTAGAATGTGGAGGCAGTCAGATTTGTTTACTCTGTTTTTATATAGTTACCGTATTATCACTGTTTGTAACGTTAAGTAATTTATTTATTAATTTCACAATGCTAGTTTACATTCATTTACTTAATTTCTCAAATATAACTGCAGTTATAAAATGTTAGTTATTGAACAGTTGTGGAAATGCAGTAAACCAGAGAGATTCAAAGCTGGTTATTATGGGTGATTATGGGTACGTTTACAGTTTTAATAGAAGTTGATGCTACTTGTATGAAACGTTGTGACCTCTTGCTTCCTCCCTGCAGATCCGCTACATCACCGAGACGCAGGGTTTGCCCCCTGAAAACATGCTCGATAGGGGAACAAAGACCGAGTTTTACTTTAGAATCGACTGGGATTCTGATGATGTATTATGGAGTTTGAAGGTGCGACCTCTTATATCAACCATTACCATATTTATAGAAAATAAAATGATTTTTAACCCCTTCAGGACATCGGGTTAAGCAAATCCTATGATATAATGACAGTCTCAGCAGATGATCTGCCATGAACTGGTTAAAGAGATATTTCGGGATGTGTATTTCATTTATTTTATTAAGCCAGAGGAAGTTTTACACACTCACATTCAGCAATACGGAAGTTTTGATGTGATAAAATTTAAATAACAGATCCTCCATAAAGAGTTTTAGGTACTGTTTCCCCTTTTCTCTGTCAGCTTTGCAGCCATTTTGTAAAATAACTTTTAAAACCATACAGTAAATAAAAAACTAAACTGTTTAGACTCAGGGAAAACTGCTGGGTCAGGTAATGGTAAGACGTGTTTATTCGTTCTAACTTTAGCAGGAAACTTACTGTCACACTGTAGAATGCTACATTGAACCATGTTCTCATTCCAGAACCTAATGGACAATCTTGTTTTTCCTCTTCTCTAGAGTAAAATACGCTATGAATTCGATTCTGGTATTAGACCAATGGAAAGACGGAAATATGTCTTCAGTTCCCTTGATGACATGAGGAAGGTACTGTATTCCTGGGACACTCACATTAACCCAAATATAGGTAATCACATGGCATCTTCCCATCATCCCTGTGGATTAGCAGAAAAAAATTACTTTAAAATGTCTGGTTAGCCAAGCACGGAGGAGGTGGTGGAGCAATCTCTTTGTGCTTAACTTTGGATGTGAGGAGCACAGTTTCGTGGCAACAATAATGTATGTGTATTGTTCATACGGGAAGACCCAAAACATTTTGCACTTCTAGATAAACACATCTTAAAACTGAAGTGCATATGAGCAAAGACGAAAACAGTTTTGCTGTAATGTATGGATGTTACATTTACTCTTTTCTAATAGTTATTTGTTTAAATGTAGCTGTTTTTTTAAATGTATTATGAAGGTATACAAGAAGAACCCATTTCTTGATTTTTGCACCCCTGTCAAGAGTCTGATGATCTGTCTAGAACCCCTACCAGTGTCGCCGGTGACATTGTGGCTTTTCACCACTGAGCCTACCAAACTCTACAGAAGTTGGGGGGTTGGTAGGGAGTACTGAGAAGCAGTCAGATGACTTACTGTAGTTACTGCCATTACCATTAATGTTGGCCCTATGACACTGAGAAAAACATGTCACTTTGCATATTTTTTATTGAATATAAAAATATAATCTTCTCATACACTGTTTCTTTCTCTTCAGGTAATTTTACCATCAAAGCTGGAGAGCAGTGATACGCTGGTGGAGATGGGAGATGTAGGGCAGTTTATCGATCTGATGAAAGAGATGCTTGCTATAGATCCACGCAAAAGGATAACTCCCACAGAATTTCTCAGCCATCCCTTCATCACCATGGCTCATCTCCAGCACTTCACACGGAGTTCATCGTACGTGATTTTCCTTGTGCATTGGGAAGGTTGCTTGGAAATGTTGAGGAAGTTGGTATCAATGTGGGAGCAGGAGGTTCAACCATATTCATAAATAATATAGGAAGCTAAATATATCTACCAGAATATGTTGAATGATATAAATTGTATGAGGAACCTCCAGTACTCTAGCTTTTTGCTGCCTTTTCGTGACCTATAGTGATACATAATATAAAGAAACTGGCACCCCCCCCATTACAATATAGTCAAACTGCTCCCCACCTCTTCTCTGCAGCCATGAGAGTGACAGTTTAGCTCAGAGAGAGAGAGCTCTTCCTGCTCCGTAAAGGGTGTAGTGGAGGCAGGGAGCAGCACCAGGGGGGACGCAGGTAAGAAGTCAAACTATCCTAAAAAGGTTTGATTACTTACATTGTGGGGTATCAGGGCAATCCTAGCACACTAACCACTGCAGAGTATTGATTGTTAAGGTGCTTGGAGTTTTCCTATAAAGAATATTGTGAGAGTATTTGTAACTTTAGACAGCAGCTAAAATGATGTATTCTTCCGTTATGGGAAAGAAAGTTTTATTAAACGAGGCTTCATTTCTGTATTCATTCTCATATTATTCCACGTTTGTTCAATTATTGTATTACTTTTTTTTGTCTTTTACTTATCATTTGTTCCCATTCTTCCCTAACTGTTTACTCTTTTATTTCTTCAAAATTTTGATCACTTCCTTTTTTTTGTCACATTCTTCCTTTTTATATAATTTTATCTCACTGTCTTTCTCTCTCTTTTCCCAGTGTAAATCCTTGCTTCCAGGCCATGGAGATGAACAAAGAACAGGTGAGTATAGTGATAGTCCTCTTTATGGTCCCCTAGGAACCAGTAGGAACTGTTAGGGGCGTCCAGTAGACAGTAATGTGCAGCTGAGGATGTCATGCTTTCTCCAGCTTGTGGGATGGGGATCACTATTCATAACTGTAATTATAACATGAACACAGGGTAATAGAAGGAACAATATTCTATTTTACTGAACAAACTCTTAGTATTGATGAGAAAAATGTCAATTTAATGTGTGTTAACGCAGAGCAGCAAATTCCGGGATTTATTTTCTCTATATATACTATAAAACAGCAGGAGGTGTGTCCTGAGCTTCCAGAAATAGAGACAAAGTCGCAGAATGCACAGAACACGGAGGAACCGCAGATAGAAGAAAATTCTGTGAGGAAAGAAAAGAAAGAAAATATTGAGAGACTTCTGAAACTTGTGAGTGCTCCCAGGGGTGTAACTGGGAACCACTGGGACTGGGTGCAAGAATTAAAGAATCTCAGTCCCCCCTAAGCAATACATCGGAGTGGGTTGATGGAATGAGTTTGACTGCGTATGGAGTTGTTTTATTGTAACCTTAAAGGGATACTTTGGGCACCATAACAACTTTAGAATTTGAAGTTGTTATGGAGCATGGTACTCCTATGTGCCTTTCTACCTCAAAAAGTTAAACTGTTTATGATTGGTTTAACCCTGTCTACCCAACTCCTTCCACTAATTCTGCATTCAATCAGGAGGCCTCAGACTCGATATCCCTGACTAGTTCCCCATTTATAAAACTGAGTGGAAAAGGTCCATTTTATGAATGTATTGTGTGACAGTGTGAAGTGACCATGGTTGTCAATGTATGGTATATCTGAAAAGCGTGCCAATGTGTTTATGGTAACGCAGAGGTGTGTTTTTGTTTGAAGGTTTATTTGCAGTAGAATATAAGTGTGTATTTGTGTGTTGCTTTTTCTTCAGTCCCATTTATCAGTACTATTTTTATTTTTTATCTCTGTATATAATATAAAATACGTAGTTTCACATATAATTTCTATGAAAGTTGATAAATTACAATGTTCAAGGGACTCATTAAATGCATAAATTCTGATTTTGTTTTTTCTTTTGATTTGAAGCATGAAAATGCTATTACACTTGCAAACCAAATGGGCGTACAAAACGAAATTTCTAGCCAAACCGAGGCCGAGCCCCAGGGAGAGTGTGAGAGTGCCCCACCAGCACAGATCGAGATCCAAGACCAGGTAAGAATGTATGCAATGTGGCTGCATAGTCCTTAAGGTTTGCAATCACTAGATGTTGACTAGAGGTAGAGATTTTACTGGGAAAAAAATCCCTGAACTTTCTAACACCAGGGAAAGTATTATGACAATACTCTCTCCAATACAGAAATAAAGATCTTAACAGTATAGTATAACTATAGTATCTTAATACTATTTAATGCTATGCTGGGAATATATCCTGTGTGTTTGCTTTCTGTTTTATTAATTTCTTTATAGAGAGATCGTTACATATATTATACATATATATACAGGTTACACACCCTTTCCATCAATGTTAATGAATAGCAATGCACAATGGGCTCCTTTAATAAATACTTTTTGATATTTTCTTTTCTTTTCACGGGTAGCATGCTCAAGATGAACCTTTACAGAAAAAGTCAAACGAAGCTGAAGAGAACTGTGAAGTTGTTATGGAGGATGTGGGACCCAACACCCAGGAAAGACCAGCTCAGAGCAAGACAGAAACATCTGATGAGAATGAAATTGAAATCCTGAGTGAGTCAGATGATGGAGACAGAGAAGAAAAGGAGGGAAAAAAGAAGAGAAAGAGGGGATCATGCCTGAGACGTGTGTTACAAGCTCTGTGCTGCTGCATCCCCAGAAAACCAAAGAAAGTGAAGGTGAACACACCCGAGAGCTCAGATGTTGTCATATATCAGGTCCATGGACTTCACAATTCCACCCGTGAAAGCAGCACAGAGAGTGAAGCAGCCGCTTCCACCCACTCCTCCCTGCCATCTGAGCGCAGTGGAGGTCTACTGCGGAAATGTGTAAACAGCGTGTCTCGAATGAGAATGAAGAAACAAAAAACCTCTTCAGAAACCTCAAATATCCAGTCATTCCATCAATGAGTAAAAGAGATTAGAAAAACCTTCACACTGCACAGATAAAAGCAACATCTAACATGCACAGCACCTCAAAATGCATAACACATTGGGAATCCAACCGAAAATTGATAATGAGCTGGCATATGGTCCCCATGAGACTCACATAGTTACCCTACAAGTTCTGACCTCAATCCAGCACCCTCCTTCACATTTTCCGGGGCTTCCCTCTTAATAAACCATACTGGACAGCCATATAATCTGTGATTTACAACAACACTAAGTTCCATGTACCACTACAACCTGAACATTTTCTCCTCAACATGTTCCTCCCCGCAGTTGACGAAATTACATATTCTCACATCCACAAGAACCAACATTGCTGGACATTAGAAAACGAACCTGCAACCACCGATTCACTCATTAGTGACTTCCCTGAAACATAGATGACAATATGAAGAGATGACCCATAAACTCACCAACACTCTATTCAAATTCAAAACAATTTGGGTGGCATTGGACACCATGTAAAAAAAAGTGCCTAAGAATTTATCAGGGCTCTAGTAGACCAACCCCTCATTCTTCTTCCCCTTCATTTCATGTCCCCCAACTTCTGCTCTTTCTTACTTACACTCTTTCACTTCTCTCTTCCTACATCCTGTTGATACCTACATATCTCCATTCTTCATGACACAGTCATCCTGAATCACACATACAGAGCTTACATGACATGAAGGACCTGTGAGACCTATATTATGTTTAATGTGATGTATAATTTACTGACCGTACTGCCAAACTTTTATGTTATACTTTTTGTTTTGTTTTATGTTTGTAATATTGATTGCTATTGTCATGTAATGCCAACCAAATAGTTAAGTAAAAACTCAATAAAATGTATACATTGAAAAAAAAACTAAAAAGAGTAACATTATTTGTTAAAGGTCACTTTAATTACACATATAAAGTGTTTGTGGTAGTGAAGAAATGTGGTGATTTAAGATTGATGATAAAGACTTGAATCCTGTCCTAGATCTGAGATTCCCTTTCCAGATACTGCCAGGCCTTGGCAATAAAGCAAGAGATATAACACTCAGTACTGAGCCAAAAACTGGTCAGTGTGTTCATGATTCAGCCTCTCCCTCCAGCCGCAGAGAGAGTACAGACAGTTTGATGTAGCCTCATATTATACAGACAGTGTCAATCAAAGAATTTTGAGTAATTTGCCGAATCAGCCAACATCGACCTCATAACCCTGCTTGCTATGGCACAGTTAGAGGTGCTTCATAGCTCATCAATGTACCGTGGCACGTCATTTGAAAAACACTGCTCTGTATATCACTTATGTACTGCAGTAATCTATCTTTATACCAACTCTCTTTCTTACGCCCAAAATATAGTCACAACCCTTGTCTTTTTCCTCTTTTTTTTAAATTTAAAAAAAATTTATTTTTGTAGTGCAGAGTGATTTTCAAGCGCCACAAAAGCGTATGCATAGAGTAAGACATGTTTAACAATGGCACGAGTGTTTGCACAATTTTTCAATTATTAACAGGTTGGTGGGAACAGGCTTAACAAATCAGTAAGGTACTGCCAAGTGATTAAGTAGGCATGCGGGTGAGAGTGCGTTGCCTCAAGTTAGAACCGGCTAGAGCATTTATGTTCACCTTGGGGGACATAGTAGTGGACTCAAATGCAATAATCATCTGGCATCAAACATAGAGATTATGAAAATGAGCGGGTAAGGCACATAAACAAGCTTATAGTCCTATTTATAGTCGCGTCTCGGCATGGTATTGCTGTTTACTATTCTGGGTGAGTTAGATAATGCCGGATGGGCTAGCCCTAGTCAACGTAATACGTGTGACTACTCAGGTTTAGGGTGGAAATTTTAAAGCTGATTTGGCATGTATAAGTCCTTGGGTGTGTGTATAATGTCGGCAAAGAGAACTAAAGTTATGCACATGTAAGCTTGGACACGATAAAGCTTATATTTTCATAGTATAGTAGCATATAAGTTATGCTTGTGTCCCAGGCTAGCAGTAATAGAGGGTAACAATAGTGTCAGTCCTGAACTGCGAGCCCATCTGGTGCTGGAGATAAAGCATCAGCCTACCCCCACTGTCGGCAGAAGGGATGTGGAACATCGCAGTTCGTGAGGGGTTGTGGCTATACAAAGTCTTGTCAGGGCGTCCATCCTTCCTTGAATCTGGATACGCACCTGTGGTTCTACCATGTGTGCTCGGGTGCCAGGAGTCCAGGTCAGTGCGTCTCTCAGGTGTTGCTGCTGGTATGTGCAGCCTGCAGATCTTCGCTGGCCTTGCCGCTGGGGTACAGCTTTCCGTCTTGGTTGGTGCACGGTCTCCCACACCTGCTGGGGTGGGAGAGTGGTTCTTTGTCTTGTCAGCTTGTGAGGTGCGACCTCTTTTCTTCTGGGCTGTTGGAAAAGAGTCTTGCCCCGGTTGTTCCGCTGCCTGAGTTTGTGCTGTATAGAAGGAGCAGGCTGCCTGCTAGACCTGCGTCCCCCAGAGGGTAGGCATTGACCACGTTGCTCTTTAGGCTGCTGCAAGGTTGCCACCTTACGCCTTTCTAATCATGCCCAGAAGTTTTGAAATATCACCTCCAGTCTCTGTGAGAGGCTCCCTATGCTGCTGCTTCCACCAGGGTATGCCAGCCCCAGGCTTTGCACCGTCATCGGAGGCCCTCCCGCCATTTTAGCAAGTACGGGGGTGTACTCTGTAGGTTCCGTGGCTTCCTGCATTGGTGTCGAGGGTAAGCGGTATAGCGTGGCAGGGACAGGGATAACCCCCACCGGTCCATGGGGGGAGAACGGAGACTTAGATTGTGCCTGACTGTATGTGTGGGCGGCTGGAGAGTGGCCGTCTCTCCCATAGCCGCCATGCTTGTAGGCCGCAGCATCGGGGGGGTTTGGACCCGGTGACAAACCCACTTGTGATGTGTCTTCTGGCAGGTCTCAGTCTCCCCACTCGTTTGGTGGCCCTGGCGAGTCTAGTCACAGCCTCCGGTTATCGGAAATCGGCTTCAGGTAAGAATAGCTGCGGGAGCAGCAGCGACATGCGTCTGCTCCCTTCTGCGGTCAGGCCCCACCCTGTCTTTTTCCACTTTTTGTACCATTGGAGAAGGTACTTGCATTTGCATTTTATCTAAAAGTTCTAGATCATAAATTATTTTTCCTGGTAATTACATCAGGAGTTTATTTTGGGTGTTTAGTCCTCCCACTGTCAAAGAGCAAAATCGGAAAAATAAAAACAGAGCGTTGTTGGTGGTGGTGGTAGCACTGCTACTAGCTAGACAAAGGCAGGATTTACATCCCCCTGTACGTGTTGTCACATAACCAGAAACAATAAGGAAAATGGATGAATATTTGTTGCCAAGTGAATACGGCGCCTGGAAAAGGTTTTTTTTTTTTTGTTAATGTGTGTATATTTAAAGCCAGCAATAATGGAGATATAGGCATTGACACGTCTTCTTTGCTCTCCCCTTTCAGACTGCACAAGTATTGAGAAAGGACCCTGTTTAACCCATCACCATTTAGATTCAATAAACACTTGTTGATTTTAGCAAAATGTTTCAGTTATGGCTGACTGTATTTTACTATTTGTGGTACACTCAGACAGCAAGGTTTGGATATATAGAATTAAAAGGGAGTGCCATCACATCATCTATGGGATATACACTGCTCAAAAAAATAAAGGGAACACTTAAACAACACAATGTAACTCCAAGTCAATCACACTTCTGTGAAATCAAACTGTCCACTTAGGAAGCAACACTGAGTGACAATCAATTTCACATGCTGTTGTGCAAATGGGATAGACAACAGGTGGAAATTATAGGCAATTAGCAAGACACCCCCAATAAAGGAGTGGTTCTGCAGGTGGTGACCACAGACCACTTCTCAGTTCCTATGCTTCCTGGCTGATGTTTTGGTCACTTTTGAATGCTGGCGGTGCTTTCACTCTAGTGGTAGCATGAGATGGAGTCTACTACCCACACAAGTGCCTCGGGTACTGCAGCTCATCCAGGATGGCACATCAATGCGAGCTGTGGCAAGAAGGTTTGCTGTGTCTGTCAGCATAGCGTCCAGAGCTTGGAGTCGCTACCAGGAGACAGGCCAGTACATCAGGTGACTTGGAAGAGGCTGTAGGAGGGCAACAACCCAGCAGTAGGCCCGCTACCTCCGCCTTTGTGCAAGGAGGAACAGGAGGAGCACTGCCAGAGCCCTGCAAAATGACCTCCAGCAGGCCACAAATGTGCATTTGTCAGAAACAGACTCCATGAGGGCAGTATGAGGGCCTGACGTCCATAGGTGGGGGTTGTGCTTACAGCCCAACACCATGCAGGACGTTTGGCATTTGCCAGAGAACACCAAGATTGGCAAATTTGCCACTGGCGCCCTGTGCTCTTCACAGATGAAAGCAGGTTCACACTGAGCACGTGTGACGTATTTTACATATTATTTTGTATATACTTTTTCATATTGTTTTTTCTTTTATTTAAAGTTTCATTTTTTTTAATTTTGCATAATATTGAAAATAATATTTTTATTGCATTTACAAAGCGAATTTTGTATACCTTTAAAGCTATTAATCATATTTTCTTGGACACGTTCTTCCTCCTCACACCCCCTTTTTTTTTTCTTTCTATACACTTGTTCAGTTTGGGTTATTCGATAACTGAATACTATAAGCTTTGTGCAAATTCACACTGTGCAAATTCACACTTTGTGGTTTTTGTTTTTTTCGCCTACAACTATTTAACCCCTTAAGGACCATACTGTTTTTGCGATGTTGTACATTTGTGGCCAGGCCTCTTTTTACACTTTTGTGGTGTTTGTGTTTAGCTGTAATTTTCTGCTCTCTCATTTACTGTTCCCATACAAATTATATATTTTTCTTTTCAGGACAAAAAGAGCTTTCTTTACATACCATTATTTATATAATCTCATGTAATTACATTTTTTTAAAAATAAGTTTTTTGACTTTTACTTGAAAAATCTTTTAATCATCTACAAAAAGCTAAAGAAATAAACTGCTAAATAGATTCAAAAATTTGTCCTGAGTTTAAAAATACCCAGTGTTTACGGGCTTTTTTGCTTTTTTTTTGGAAGTTATAGGGCTATAAGTACAAGTAGGATATTGCGGTTTCAAAACATACATTTTTTTAAATGTATCAATAGCGACATTGTAACACTATTATCTGTCATAAATCTCTGGAAAACACCCCACATGTATATATTTTTTTTAAAAGTAGACAACCCAGGGTATTCATCTAAGGATATTTTGACATTTTCTATGCAGCCATTTTACCACCAGTCTTCGCATAGTTAGTTTTTTGTTTTTTTTCACATACATTGCAATTCAGGTTTAAACTCACAGATCCTGTTATGTGTTGCTGCCAAAAAACACACTAATATGTGTTCAGCAACATCTCCCGAGTACAGTGATACCACCCATGCATAGGCTTTTTGGATTGTTAGGGGGCTAAAAGGCCACATTTGGCAGGTGTGCATATCCATTTTCCAACTTGGAATTTTGACATGTAGTAAACCTGCGCCCCTGTCCTATTTGGGCCAATGTATTTTACCCCCATCAAATCATATATTTTTGAAAAGTAGACAACCCAGGGTATTTAAATGGTGGTATTTTAACACTTTCCACGCACTAATTCTACCACCAGCCTTTGTCAAACTTTTGGGTAGTACAGTGATATCACCCATGCATAAGTTTGCTGGGTTATTTGGGGGCTAAAAGGCCACGATCAAGACTTGTACATGTCAATTTTCCAACTTGATATATAGGTATGCTTGGCCTATCTTCAGTTTGGCATATGTTTGCATCCCCCAGCTAATGATAACATCACAAAAGTTTTAATTTTTATAAAGTAGACATTCCAGGGCATTGTATATGGGGTGTTTTCACATCCTTCCCCCCAACCATTATGCTAAACAAATTTAAGAGAACGTGCATGGTGGTAATTTTTTAATTCTGCTTTTTATGCACACGTCATCTGGTTTTGGCCAGCCAGTTATATGTTACTGCCAGAAAAGTTTTTTAACCAAATGTGCAGGTATCAAATGCACCTTTAGCAGTATTCTCTAAACGAACTCCTGCAAAAAGAATCTAACTGGAGATTTGGGGGAAGGAAACCCACTAACTAAAATTTGCAGCTTTCAAAAGAAAAAAAAAACAGTGCAAAGGGGTGTCTGTCCTTTTCCCTTTTTTATAACAGACCCGGCAACGTTTCAGGGGATTTTTTTTTTTTTTGCAGTTGGCGGTATCTTAAAAATAAAATGTCTGGACTCCTCTGGCACCGTTGTTGTACCTTGACCATCTCCATAAATTATTGTGGAAATCAGCTTGAGCTGAAATTGGAAAAAGGTGGTTCTTCCTGGATTCATGTGTTGCTACCTTTTTATACCAGGCCTTTGTCTTTCTTAAGATAAGATATGGCTGCATCAGCTGATCAGCCAAATAAACACCCCCATGTGCCTGTTAAAAGCCCTGATGTAAACAGGTTTTGTCTGTACCCTGCCTCGGACAGTGACGTCTGACATGCTTTCGTCATGGATGGTTGTTAGCATGTGAACATCCTTCCTGTCCTTAAATTTTATTGCAAGCAGGTCAGCTTTGCGCAGAGCTTTGCATTGACCTTTTTTTAATTTGGCCTCTATGAGAGGTCTGGGGAAATCCTTGGCATTTCTTCTTACAGTGCCGCAGGCCAGTGCCAGTTATGCAAACCATAAAGAATTTTAAATAAGTGGACACTGCTGTAAAAATTGTCCACATAAAGGTGGTAACCCTTATTGAACAAGGGGATCAGTAGGTCCCAAACAAGTTTCCCACTTGTCCCCAGAGAGTCAGGACAGCCAGGAGGGTTCAGTTGACCATCTTTCCCCTCATATACACAAAAGGCAAATGTGTAGCCACTTTCACTCTCGCACAGTTTGTACACTTTAATGCCAAACCTAGAGTGCTTTGAGGGGATATACTATTTGAACCCTAATCTCCCTTTATATTTCATTAACTATTCATCAATAGATACATTTTGTTGGGGAGTATAAACATCAGTAAATCTGTTCTGAAGATAGTCTACCAGTGGGAGTATTTTATGAAGCCTATCATATTGGGGATGATCTCTGGGGTGAGAGGGTATTGTCGTTGAAATGTAAGTATCTCAGCAGCAGCTCCTATCTTGGTCTAGGCATTGTTTGGGAGAATATAGGAGTTGAACAAATTGTGTTGGTGCTCCAGTAAGAGCGGATTGATGGCTTCTTTATTATCCCCATGAGCATTGTAAGAGCCCAGAATCTTTTAAGTTCAGGGACATCTGTGGGATGCCAAGCATGCTCCCTGACTGAATAGCTACCTGGATTGGTCTCAGTAAATTGGCTAGCGTATAAATTAGTCTGGGAAACAATCTCCTCCCAGATGGTATCCCCTAAAAATAACTCCATATTAATGCCTGCGTTAGCACTAAAAGGGGGGATGTTGGGCTCAGCTAACTGTGGAGGTACCCAGTCCTCCTCCACATTCGGCGTAGCAGGGGGAGCACAGGTCGTTTAAGCAGCTGGCTCACACACAGATGACATGTCATTAGACGTGTCGCTAAACTGACCTGGGTCAAAATCGGACGCAGTGTCAGTGGCGTCAGAGTCGGACGCCAAGAAGGCTTATGCCTCTTCCAAGCTGTACATGCGCTGCATGTTTCACACTAACTGACTAAACGAACAAAATACTAAACAATTATTTTTTTATATATATATTTTTTTTTTTTTCTAACACACTAAAACAGTAATCCCTAAACTACCTCCTGTTAAAAGAATATAATGGAGATTTGGGGGAAGTAAACTGACTAAAACAGAGTAAGACAGTCCAAGACACAGATTTTTAAAACAAATTTAACCCTTAAGGGCAAAAGAAAAAAAATATAGACAGTACAAAGGCACTGCTGTAACAGATTTGGCAGGGAAAGGGTAAAAATTATTATTTTTAATTCGCTTTATATACTGTATAAAGCTCTGGAATACTAGGCACCTCTCATGACCACAGGAATGCAATGACTTTTCATTACTTTTAGCTTTTTTTTTTTTTTTCTATTTCGTTCCTTTTTTCCCCCTCTCTAATTCCTTCACTGTTGTGACTCTTGCTCTATCTTTAGGTTTTGATTCAGTTACAATGGGTTACAGGGTTTATTTAGATATCGTCTTTCTGTATTTGTTTACAAGTATTTATGGAATAATGCAACAGAACTGAAAGCTTTTTATTTTCCTTCCTAATTTCTGATGTTGAGTGACATGACACCATGTGGTGCTTGGCCAAATGCTTATGCACATTTATAAAACTTTAAACGTTTTACTACTATATTCCTATACATCACTGAGAGCACCATACCCACTATGGCAAAATGTAGTGTGGTGCAAAGATGCTATGGGTACCATCCCAGAATATGGTAAGAACCAATTTGTAGCAGTTTCAAAAAGATTGGCCTCTCGACAGTCACACTGATAGTGTGGAAACTACACTTTTGCATTACCAATATCAATTTTGATATATGTTAGATTGAGTGATAAAGTGTAGATTTATCAAGGTGGCTAGAAAGGTGGTGGGCTACGGCAGTCTTACAAATTACTCAGCTGAGCTCGATCGTGATTACACTACCTCTTTACAGTCATTCCTTCATAAAGAGAAGCTGAAATGTTACCTTTACAAACAAAATTCATGCCACAATCACCGATAAATAGAAATACAAATGTAAGCCGGCTGCTTATATTTAGTATTATAATGGATTCCATGCCAATAACATACACAGAGTTACAAAACACAAAACTCGTTTTAATTATTAGGGATTACCTTAAACCAAATAAAAAACAAACACACATCTTAGAAACGAGAAAAAAAAAAACTAACTAAAATGTGGTTTTATTTTGCAGATATGTTAAATGAACATTTCCCTCTTCATTACTTTAAACCGTCAAATACAACTAGAAAGCGCAACAGTTTAATTAAAACACACCTGGTACCCCAATTGACTTTTGGGGTTCCACTATAGCAAGTCCTGTTTCTGTTCTATTGAACACACAGCTGCGCGGGCTAAAATCACTCCATAGCTGCTTACATTTCACTGGCATTTGAATTACTCAGTTGTAAAAATTAGTAGATTTCCCTAACACAGCATATCATCCTTTCTGTTTTAATACTACAAATGATTCTGATACTGTCTGGCGCATTCAACATTATAGTATCATGTAAAAACTACAACATAGATAAGGGTGCGATTAAACTAAACTAAACAAAAACACGTTCCATAACTTTCTTTATCAAAAAACCTCCTGAATGTTATCTTGGGTTGATCATTGTCTTCTATGATCCTGTATGGAAGTGTCTGCGCATGTGTTAATTTTGGGCAGGAATATTGGTTACTTGCTCTGCTGACAAAGGTAAACATCAGGTATAAGGTAAATAAGAGGGATGTAAAGTAGGTTCCTTTCAGATTAAAAAATAAAATACACAACAAAAAATATTGCACATTTGAGACAATTGGAAAGGAATTTTCTATAGTACATATTGAGTAAAGTCCCTCCATGATAAAATCAAAGACCGATGATGCAGTGCCTCAGTCTTCATCCGAGCTATCGGACCCCTCGTCTTTAGCCACTTTCCAGTTTGTCCTCCTGCTTTTCCTCAATTCCATCTCGGTGTCTTTCTTGGGTTTTGATCGATGGTGGTGTTTCTGGCTTGTTTTTTTATGGCATCTGCCTTTATGTTCCTCTGTCTCAGCATCTTCGGTGCTGCTCATCTTATCACTTGAATCGCTGTCTTGTCCAGATGAAGATGGCTGTTTTCTAGTGGCCTTTTTTCGAGTCTTCTTCTTGCGCTTAGATTTCTTTGGCTTTTCCATGGTGTCCTCTGAACTGTCACTCTCACTTGAGGTTTCTGTAGGCACCTCCAACTCCTTCTTTCTCTTCTTTAGCTTTTTGTGAGACCGTTTCTTCTGTTTCTTTTTATGGGTTTTCTTAGATCTCTTACGTTTATGAGACTCCTGTTCTTTTTGAGCTCTGCCTCTTGTCGTTTCCTGGCCGTTTGTTTTCCTTTTGTTGCTTTTTTCTTCTGTGTCACTGTCATAAAGAATAAATAAACACCAAGGTTAAATTGAGGGATTACATGAAGGTCAGCTGAAATAAAAGGTCATTTTCCCACCTGGTGTAATTTGGTATATTTGTCGTTATTTAAAAAGGACACTTCAGACACTAATACAACATGTAGATATTTCATAGTTCCTAGCCTAAATAATTAGCTGTATTTTTGCATGTTCCATGCATCATGTGTTCCACATCCCCCATTTTAAATTATTTCCTTTTTTTCTGGTTAATGTACCAGTGTAATACAGTACAATATACACACTACTCAAGATAATAACTGTAGAGAGATATATACAGATACTTAACTTAATTATTACAGCCTCCCAAGATCGTTACCCAGAGAAAACGACCTTTTAACATAGATAACCACAAGCAACACAGAACTTCGGGATACGGCTGGAAAGTTAATCTAAAAGGAACACGAAAAATATACACAAAATAGTGAAGTACAATTAACACATGGTTTTCCGCTGAATACAAATGCACTCACAGAATGAAGTAGAATATATCGCTCATAGGGTGCCTCCCCTAGTGGAATGGGGGGTTGGTAATCCCTTGGCTCCTTCTAGGCTTCCTTTATAATGCTCAGGACTCCAAACAGGTAATGGTAGAAAAAAGATGTATTTATTGATAAAAGGTGAACATTCACCATCAATATAAGGTATAATAAAAAGAAGAACGGTATGGTCCTACGCGTTTCGTTCTGCAAAGAACTTCATCAGGGACCGTATATAAAGAATAAAATCAATATACAATTACAGTATATAAAAAAACATCCTATTCCCCCCATCCCTGAGTCCTCTTTAAATAGGGCTAATCCCCATGTTCATTGGTGGTTCCGTGGGTGGTATCCAATATCTGCTGTTTAATTGGTTCTGGGAAGGAGCTGTTCAGCTGTTTTTCATCCTCCCTGTGTTGCTATAATCAATTTTGGCGCGTTCGAGCGTCCGGAACCGGAAGTGGGAAATGAATCGCACTTCCGCGTTCCACTTGCATTCCACATGCGTTCCACCCGCGGCTGAAATGCGTTCCACCTTCATTGTGTCTCAATGTAAATGTATAATCAGGAAAAAACAATAAAAAAAACAATATATTCTATCTGCTAAAGAAAGAAACAATATTAGTAACCTTATTTACTTAATATAATCAATCACCATTAGGTTATTATAATTAAACAGTATCACATTGTATTTCTTAAAGTGAAAGGTGCGCTCAAAGTGCACAATTTATATAATACATGTAATCCTATTATCAACAAAACATTATATTTCAAGTGTAACATGCATGATTAGACTATATGATATATATCAATATCCATTAATTATTAGTAGATGGTTCGTGCCATAAGAATTTTTTAGAAGAATAACATAACATAAAAAAATATATATAGAAATTATAAATTAGAATTAAAAAGAACAAAATTTTATAGTGTTCCTATAGAAAATCTCCAATATTAAGTGGAGTTACACATATATCTAATATCCCAAGTGGTTGTGTTTTTGCCCATTGATTAATAAATGTATACAGGATAATATTTTTATCAATACCTGTATATCTCCAAAATACAAAAAGACCGTACTCCCAAATATAGTTAAATTCCTGAATATCAAAAAAAATCCAACTAGTATATATAATATATATACAGGACAATTTAGCCATATATTTACTTTTATATAACCCATATGGAGGACGGAAGGTTGTATTTTAGTCAGAATCACCATCATCCATAGAATAATGATGTATAAGGAAATGAATGTATGTATAAATGAAAATCAATTTTGGATTCTAATCCAAAAAACAAACTAAATCGATACCAATATTGAGGCCCCTCGGTTCTAGGGTATTTAACCGATGTATCCAGAAAGTCTCCCTTTGGGATAGTTTCTGGATTCTATCACCCCCTCGCCAGAATGGAAAAACACCTACATGAGAAGATGGGAAGAACTTTTTGTGTGGTCTGGGCATGGCTGGAGGGAGAGCCTGGTCCTATGGCGGCGGTATATCGATGATGTTATTATTATTTGGAAGGGATCTTCGGTTGCTTTTCAGGAGTTTGTTCAATACCTTAACTGCAACCAGTACAATCTGGTCTTTACTCCAGTATGGAATAAATATGAAATCCACTTTTTGGACCTGGTCCTTTTCTGTGATCAAGAACAAATACAGACCAAATGTTTCTTCAAACCCACAGATGGTAACGGCTACGTACACCAACGTAGCTGTCACCATAAACCGTGGTTACGGGGCATAGCTAGAAGTCAGTTTACACGTGTCAGACGTAATTGCTCTAATCCTCAGGATTTTAGGACCCAATCACTATATATTAAGAAAAAGCTTATGGATAGAGGTTATAAAAGAAATGCTTTGGACAAAGAAATCCGTTCCATCAGCTCGGTACAACGTAGTTCATTATTAGAAGACAAGGGCAGTACAAATGAAAATAATAAAAACTTCAAATCATCTTTTATAACTCAATACAATACCGACCATCATAAAATCAAAAAAAGTTTGCAGGAGTTCTGGCCCATTTTACTTCAGGACCCAGTTTTGGGAGAGTCTTTATCGGATCGCCCTATGGTGATCTATAAAAAGAATAAGAATCTTAAGAACCTACTGGCTCCTAGCTACGCTATTAAACCTCCTAATATCCATTCTTCTTCCACTATTGTTTTTTTTAGAGGCTGTGGAATCTGCAAGGCCTGTATTACTACATCATTGTCCAAAATACAGTTGTTCCATAGTAACGTCACAGGGGAAACATTCAAGGTGAAATCTGAAATTGGTTGCCACTCGGACTATGTGGTTTATTTACTACAGTGTCCCTGTGGCAAACAATATGTGGGGCGTACAAAGAGGATTCTAAAGGTCAGAATACTTGAACATCTGAATAATATCAAGAAGAAACTTCAAACTCATTCAGTTTCGGCCCATTGTTCTAATTGTCCATTATTTACTTTTCGGGATTTTATCTTTATGGGCATTGAAAGAGTTTTTCCATTCTGGCGAGGGGGTGATAGAATCCAGAAACTATCCCAAAGGGAGACTTTCTGGATACATCGGTTAAATACCCTAGAACCGAGGGGCCTCAATATTGGTATCGATTTAGTTTGTTTTTTGGATTAGAATCCAGAATTGATTTTCATTTATACATACATTCATTTCCTTATACATCATTATTCTATGGATGATGGTGATTCTGACTAAAATACAACCTTCCGTCCTCCATATGGGTTATATAAAAGTAAATATATGGCTAAATTGTCCTGTATATATACTATATATACTAGTTGGATTTTTTTTGATATTCAGGAATTTAACTATATTTGGGAGTACGGTCTTTTTGTATTTTGGAGATATACAGGTATTGATAAAAATATTATCCTGTATACATTTATTAATCAATGGGCAAAACACAACCACTTGGGATATTAGATATATGTGTAACTCCACTTAATATTGGAGATTTTCTATAGGAACACTATAAAATTTAGTTCTTTTTAATTCTAATTTATAATTTCTATATATATTTTTTTATGTTATGTTATTCTTCTAAAAAATTCTTATGGCACGAACCATCTACTAATAATTAATGGATATTGATATATATCATATAGTCTAATCATGCATGTTACACTTGAAATATAATGTTTTGTTGATAATAGGATTACATGTATTATATAAATTGTGCACTTTGAGCGCACCTTTCACTTTAAGAAATACAATGTGATACTGTTTAATTATAATAACCTAATGGTGATTGATTATATTAAGTAAATAAGGTTACTAATATTGTTTCTTTCTTTAGCAGATAGAATATATTGTTTTTTTATTGTCTTTTCCTGATTATACATTTACATTGAGACACAATGAAGGTGGAACGCATTTCAGCCGCGGGTGGAACGCATGTGGAACGCAAGTGGAACGCGGAAGTGCGATTCATTTCCCACTTCCGGTTCCGGTCGCTCGAACGCGCCAAAATTGATTATAGCAACACAGGGAGGATGAAAAACAGCTGAACAGCTCCTTCCCAGAACCAATTAAACAGCAGATATTGGATACCACCCACGGAACCACCAATGAACATGGGGATTAGCCCTATTTAAAGAGGACTCAGGGATGGGGGGAATAGGATGTTTTTTTATATACTGTAATTGTATATTGATTTTATTCTTTATATACGGTCCCTGATGAAGTTCTTTGCAGAACGAAACGCGTAGGACCATACCGTTCTTCTTTTTATTATACCTTATATTGATGGTGAATGTTCACCTTTTATCAATAAATACATCTTTTTTCTACCATTACCTGTTTGGAGTCCTGAGCATTATAAAGGAAGCCTAGAAGGAGCCAAGGGATTACCAACCCCCCATTCCACTAGGGGAGGCACCCTATGAGCGATATATTCTACTTCATTCTGTGAGTGCATTTGTATTCAGCGGAAAACCATGTGTTAATTGTACTTCACTATTTTGTGTATATTTTTCGTGTTCCTTTTAGATTAACTTTCCAGCCGTATCCCGAAGTTCTGTGTTGCTTGTGGTAATGTACCAGTGTATGTGATGTTACAGCTTCATTTCTGCTCTTTCCTCCTAAGCTGCAGTGTCCAATAACACAGTTGTACGTGTCATCAGGAAGAAATTTCTGAGAAATCTATTTCAGATAACCGTTTTCATAATAAGAAATTAAATAGCTACTGATTGATCTGGACTCTAACCCTTGCAGTGCTAGGTTTAAGTTTTCCAGCAGTTCAGACGCTCCAGATTCATTTCTTTGTTAACATTTATTTTTTAGGGATTTATCTATATCATAGATTAAAAATGACATGGGGGTGACCTCAAGACTGGAGAATCCCTTTCAATTACTTGGCAATAGGAAATCCTTAGTGAATAAAGATGTTAATCACTCAGTTACAGAGGGCATGCCAGGACTGGTTTCATATCACAGGATTTGCATTGGACTACACCCTCAATGAGGTTAAATCACAAAAGCTATAACAGATCTATAAAACGGAATGCATGGGCAAATAATATAATAATGGAAAATATAGTAGTATTTAGCTTATAACAAGTTACAGTATTGCCATGCTGAACAATGATTACTGGATTCACCATGCAAATACTTTGTTTGCTAAAATATAGATAAATATAGATATGAAAAAAAAAATCACAAATTATTTTTTAAAAATGTGTGCAAAATAGCAGAGGAAACCCTGCACATATTTAAAATGACAGTAGGTTATAACTGCAACCGCCATTATGTATAAATTATACATTAAAAAAATATTTAAAAGGGGGGGAGAGGTTATGTGTTGCTTTTGGGTTTTAGTGAGTGTTATAATTCTCCCCCCCTCCCCCGTCACTTCCCACCCCCAAAAAAAGACCTCCAACGTTTTTATGATTTCGCACCAGATCATCTAGTTAGGAACCTGAACCCATCGTTTACAGCATCTGAGCAGCAGTTTCATGTGCATCCATTAGACAATGGTGCTATTTTGGCAATACCTGCTATGCTGCTGAATGTACAGGGTCATAGTAAGAGATGTTACCAGATACAATGGGAAAATCTGGAGTTTGAGATACTGGAAGAGCACTGGGGTATTATCTTTGTAATTTCTTCTAATATCATTGCTTGCACAACAGTCAAGGAAAGTGGTTAAAGGGTTCTGGTCCCATGTGTTTGCCAGTATATACAAGAAATTCTAAAGCTCAAATCCATGCATGCAGAACAGAAGTAAAATACAAACACATATTATGATTAGCTGGATGAAAAAAAAAGGGGGCGTGCAGGTAGAAGATTAATTTTCACCACATACCTGTTTGAATCAAATTCCTCAGGATACAGTTCGTTGTACCCGCTGTGCCCCCATCTATAAAAAGAGAATTAGAGAAAGACAGATTGCGTCATGTGATTTACAGACTTGTTTTCCCATGAATTTAGAAATAAGCCAAAAGAAAGGTTTCTCCATGACTGGGTACAGTTATTCTGAATTATGTTTTAGACAATGTATTTAATCATGTATTTGCCATGAATATTTGATTGGTTTGATACTCAAACTGATCCCCTTAAACAGCCTTGACAAAACTTAAATTTCAAAGCAAAATATTAATAATCAGAACTAAAAACACATTTAACACCAACCAAGCTACTGAGACTCATAGCAAGTACTAACACGTACTGCAACAGAAGACACAGGTGCTAGCTCAGAATTTAACCTGGGACTGGATAGGCAGTTAAAGGACCACTATAGTGCCAGGAAAAAATACTTGTTTTCCTGGCACTATAGTGCCCTGAGGGTGCCCCCACCCTCAGGGTCCCCTTCCTGCCCGGCTCTGGGGAGAGGAAAGGGGTAAAAACTTACCTTTTTCCAGCGCTGGGCGGGGAGCTCTCCTCCTCCGTTCCTCCCATTCGGCAAGAGCTGCGCGCGCATTCAGCCGGTTGATAGGAAAGCATTTACAATGCTTTCCTATGAACGCTTGATTTTCACAGTGAGAATCACGCAAGCGCCTCAATGAGACAGCCGCTAGAGGAATTGGAGGAAGGATTAACCCATTTGTAAACATAGCAGTTTCTCTCAAACTGCTATGTTTATAAAAAAAATGGGTTAATCCTAGCTGGACCTGGCACCCAGACCACTTCATTAAGCTGAAGTGGTCTGGGTGCCTAGAGTGGTCCTTTAACCACAATTTTCTTGTGCCTTTATGGAATGCGGGAGTTTAATTTACCTCACCCATGTGCTCATGCTCTAGTTTGTACAACCAAACTGGAAATAGGAGGACTTGTTGCAGATACACCGATGACGTGTTTATGACTATCACAACACTTCTACTGCCCCTGCTCATACTAGACTAATGCATTTATCTAGTTTAGAGGGAGATACATTGATCTAGGATATATAATTATTTTTATTTTGTATACATTCCTTATCAATATTTTGTTAAATACCAATTCTCTTTCAGTGGAATTCCAACACAGTCAAAATGCGTATTTAAAAAAAAATTTTTTTTATATGTTTATTCACAATGTACAGTAATTAGAGAAGGATAGCTGATTACAAGATGGGACTTGCTTTTCAGCAATTCCAAAAGAGTATGAATCAAATGTTCATCCCGCTATAAACCTTATATAAAATAGTGTGTTCGGGGGGCGTGGCTGGGCTGCCGATGGAGTAGGACGCAGGCAGTGAGAGCTCCTGGGCCCCAACCTGCCATAGCCCGTGTTAACAGCGTTATCACACCCGTCTGAATGGGTAAACCGAGGCGGGGGACTGCCCCGGGCCCGCAACATACCGCCATGTCTCAGCAGTCGGGACCGATGGACGAATTCCTGTCCACCCCACAATGTATGGCCGGCACATGAGGCCTGGACAAAATGGCGCCCGGATCGCCGGGAACACATAGCAGGACGAGCTCCACACAAGACTCCCCACGGAGAGACGCCCTCACTCAGATGTCCGCAGAACTGACGGCAATTTCAGCAAATATGCTTACCAGGCAGGACAAGAAAGAGCTGGTGGCGGAACTCCGCTCGGCTATCCGGGAGGAAGTAGCTGCTGTTCGGCGAGACCTCACCGCCCTAGAACACTGGGTAGGGGACCTGGAGGTCCAACAGTTGCAGGCAGAACAATTCCAACGGGCTACAGATCTAGCTACCACGCGGCAGGGCAACCTCCTCCTGGAGCTCAGATGCCAGGTGGAGGACCTTGAGAACCGCGGACGGCGCAATAATATCCGCGTCAGAGGCCTGCCGAAGTCTGAAGGAGAATCCCCAAGAGAGGTCCTTGAGGGCCTGTCCACGCACCTACTGGGGGAAGAAGCTCCGCCGGATTTTGGATTAGAGCGTGCCCACCGGGCACTTCGACCACCAAGGAGAGATGGCCTCCCCAGGGACTTGGTATGCTGCTTTCAATCCTTCCAGCTGAAGGAAAATATTATGAGGGTGGCCAGGGCGCTGCGCACCATCAATTACATGGACTCGCATGTATCCCTATACCACGACCTGTCTCCCCTCACCCTCGATGCCAGAAGAGCGCTGAAGCCACTCACAAGCCTCCTACAGCAGAAGCGGATCCCTTATAAATGGCCTAATGACGTGCCCAGATTTCTGCGAGCAGCGGGCCTTCCGGAGATTCCTGTCCCTAACTGGATCCTAGATAACCCGCCGACCAGACCCACAGGCCCTACAGTTCCGGCTGAGAACCTGGTAGATGGTGCCCCACAGAGCTCCTCGACGCGTCGGAGCGGGCCCAGCACCGCGGAAGAGTAGGAAGTCTGAATGCACCCGAGGGCGAGTCCCTGGAGGGGTTCTTGGGCGGGCCGGGTGCCCCGAGACCCCCCACGATCTTCACCATGGGAAAGGTGCATACCTGCCCGTAGGCAAGCATGGGACTACCGAGACAATGAAACTGAGCAACCGGGGTATGTACTGAGCTTTTCCCCAGGCCCGCGACTACCCAGTGTACACTGTAAGACCCGTACCCCCGGGGACTCAGCACTTGGGTGGGGGACGGGAAGTGCGGGGGTAGCAAAATGGAGTTACATAAGGGAATCAGCCACCACTACCTCACACGGCCACGGAAGGAGCAGAGCAGGTTTGGGAGGAGGGCCCGGTCTGTTGGACCTACTATAGGGAGAGGTCAGGGCCAAGGGGGGTTCGGCTGGGTCCCACACAACTAGCAATAGCCCTGGCTACTAGCAGCCTGTCATGTCCTGAAGGGAGGTCGCGGCCTGTGGGGGGGTGAGACTCCTAAGGGGTTAATCATCAGGGCCAAGGAACCATGAGGAAGCCAGGTGGGTGGTGGGGGGCTGGATGCACGCCCATCACACCCCTCCGGGCCCGAAGGCCAAATGTCTACGTCCTGACCCCAGCCGAGACGAGAGCTGAAGAGGGGTTGGACGACCGTGCACCCTGGGGCACAAGAGGGAACTCTTGCATATGCCTGATAAGGGCACAGGAACTTGTTACACTGTTCATCATTAATTGCATGTTGCCTTACTTAAGAATAGGAAGGTCCAGACGACTCATGCGTCCTCGGGGGTAGTGGAGACAGATATCCCGGCAGGGCAGGATGGGATAGGACGGGGACGCTGGACGACAGGGGGGGTCGGTGGGGGAGATCACTCTCCATGAAGCACAAGGGGTAGAACACTGACGGCGGACAAGCGAGACTAGAAAGGGAACGCATACATATTACGAGGGTTAGGCCCAGGGAGGAAAGGAATCACGGGCGCAACCTGGGAAGTCTGACCCACCACACATGGATACGCCACGAGACGGGGACGACTGGACGCTATGACTGGCGGGTTGGGAGCACCAGGAGACAGACTCGAACCCAACACACACATTAGGTTGTTTGGCGCCGCAGGCGACCTTGCTCACACCCCACGCAACTGACCCGTGGTGTACATACTAGTCGGAGTTCGGTAGGACTACAGTCGAGTAGCTGCCGAACAACTCTATCCGACCGAGGTTCATTGTTGCTATCCAACTCTTTTTTTTTTTTCTCTCTTCTTCTTCTCCATTCCTTTCTTTCTCTACCTCTTTTCCCCACCCTCCCTTTTCTCCTTCCTACCCCCCTTCTTTCTCCCCTCACCCACGTATAGTCAGCTACACAATGCCTTCCCAGACGGGGCCGGGTGGGGGACGCCCACTCAGAGGGGACGGGGGGAGTCTGTCAGGTATAGCATGGCATGTATTTCGTCGCCGGAACCCACTTCCGGGTTCACGGCGCTCAGCCCCGCCCTTAGGAAGACCGCGCCAGATTCAAAGGGCTGGATTATTCGCACAGGTGCTGCAGGAAGATCAGCTGCTCTACTTTTGATCCTACCTGCTCCACTTCTATACCTCGGCTAGTAAAACGGATTTCTACCTTCTCCACTTCTCGACCTCGGCTTGTAACGGATTTCTACCTTCTCCACTCCTAGACCTCGGCTTGTAACTCTTAATACTACCTTCTCCACTTCCAGACCTCGGCTTGTTAAAACGGACTTCCCCACTCTCCACTCCTAGTTCTCAGCTTGTTGAAACAGACTTCTAATTTCTCCTTCATTGGGTGAATTAACCCTTCCAGTGCCAGAACTGCCTTTAAGTTAAGTAATACTTTTACCAAACAAGCCAATTCCTATTATTTATGTTACACAGTATCTAAAGCTCACTAAAGAGTCACTTTGTCTAATTATTCCTCTTATTCATAAAGGATTGCTTCAAAGCCTAATTTTTCCTTCATGTGTATTTAAAGGTACAGTGACCATTGTTTCATATCAATATAAAAGGAGGTGAAACTTATTGTTGCTGCAACCAGGATATTCTGCAGTTGAGTTCCAATTAAAGAAGTATTACAAAATAAATATTACAGAATAATCCAGCCATATTCAATGGAACCAGCAGATATCAACTCTCAAGTTTCTGCCCTAACCAATAGAGTGGATACGATTGCTCAAGGGTTACAGGAACTGCAAATTACAAATGAGAGAATATTAACCTATGTTAGAGACATTCAAGGTCATCTTCCTCATGCCGCTCTTCAATCGGCTGGTGATCCTGCTGTCTGTAATCCAGAAAAATTTTATGGAGATAGAACAAAGTACAGAGAGTTTTTGAATTCTTGCAAACTACTAATAGCTTTAAAACCTAGATCTTATCCCACCGAAAGATCCAAAGTCTGTTCAGTGATCTCTTTTTTAAGAGGTGAACCTATGGCCTGGGCCCATTCCTTTTTGGAAAATGATGATCCCATATTAGATTCATTGGATGAGTTCTTTGAAGCTATGTCTTTATTATATGAAGATCCTTTTAAACAAACTACTGCTGATTTAACCATCAGAACATTACACCAAAAGAATAGACCTGTTGAAGATTATATTGCAGAATTCAAAAGATGGGCTACAGAAACCCAATGGAATGACATTACTTTACGCAATCAATTCCGTCTCGGATTATCTGAAGCTGTGAAGGATGAACTCTCTCGTACAGAACTTCCTCCTACCTTAAATGCATTGATTCAACTGTCCATCAGTATTGATAGACGTCTAAGAGAAAGAAAAGCTGAAAGGGTTCTTACTAATTCTACCTGGAGAAAACCTTTCACTACTCTAAAACTACCTGAAAAAATTCCTTGTGTTCAAAAAACTAACTTTATTCCAATCAGAGTTATTGACGGTTCATTTATATCCTCAGGACCCATCAAAGATGAGACAATCCCCCTAAGAATGATTACCAACAACGTACATTTCGAATTCATTACATTTGATATTATTAAATCTCCACTTTATCCCGTCATTCTAGGAATTAATTGGTTAAAAACCCATGATCCTTTAATTAAGTGGTCTCCCTTCTCCATCTCCTTTGCTTCTGATTTCTGTAAAAAAACGTGCTTACAACACATTCCTATTCTCCAAACTACTATAGAACCAGTTATACCTCCATTCTACTCCGATTTTGCAGATGTCTTTTGTAAAAAAGAAGCGGAAACACTTCCTCCTCATCGGGTATATGATTGCCCAATAGATCTCATACCCGGAGCTCCTATTCCTTATGGTCATATTTATCCACTCTCTGAAAAGGAGTTAGAAATTTTAAAAGAATATCTTAATGAAAATTTACGCAAAGGGTTCATCAGACCCTCAACCTCCCCAGCTGCTTCTAGTATTTTCTTTGTGAAGAATAAGGACCAAACCATCCGTCCTATTATAGATTACAGAGCCTTAAATAAAATAACTATTAAAAATCGTTATCCTCTTCCACTAATAAATGAATTAATTGAAAGGTTAAGAACTGCAACTATATTCACTAAACTCGACCTTCGAGGCGCATATAACCTCATTAGAATAAAACAGGATGATGAATGGAAAACCGCCTTCCGGACAAGATATGGTCTCTACGAATATCTAGTGATGCCTTTTGGGCTCTGTAATGCCCCTGCAACATTTCAACATTTTATAAATGATATCTTTAGAGATCTTCTGGATATATGTGTTATTATCTACTTAGATGATATCTTAATATATTCTAACAATTTGGATGAACATAGGAAGCATGTTAGATGGGTTCTATCTAGACTGAGAACTCATAAATTATACGCTAAACCAGAAAAATGCCTTTTTGAGGTTACTGAATTCTCTTTTCTAGGATACATTATTTCACCTCATTCTTTGAAGATGGATAATTCCAAAATCAAATGTATTATTGACTGGCCCGCTCCTACTACTACAAAAGAATTACAACGTTTTCTTGGATTTGCAAACTTGTATAGAAAATTTATTAGAAACTATTCGGATGTATCACATCCTCTTAACCTCCTCAACAGTAGTAAACGTCCTTTCAATTGGAATAAAGATGCACAAACAGCCTTCAACGAAT